TTCGTCCTTTGCATTGAGGGGTAAAGCACGAAACGTTTGATCCCGAAAAAATTCGAAAAACGCTCGTCATCGTGAAAGAAAGAATATAAAGGGTTCAAGTGGGGGAAAAGGGCGAGGGTAGCTCACGGCCCGGGGGGATGGGATTAAATCCCGAAACAACATTCATTGCCGTCCCATTAACACGAGAATGCACTCGCGCCGCCGGTGGCTGTTGCACCTATATACGTAGGTTGTACCCCCCCCCCTCTGCCAAGGCAATTCCAACTTGCGAGCGTCGCAAATCATTTAGGGGCCCCCGCCAAACGACACAGAATCCCGTGCACGCCGGTGTCGCGCTGCACGGCCACCGGAGGTTCTGCAGATCGTGTATTGGTCTACATATATATACGTAGTCGTTGGGGGCTGATGCATGTGTCTGGCTCTATGCTGCAAGGGTCGAGCCTCGAGCCAATTGAGCGTGTTGTGTGTGTTCCCGTATACGAAAGCCGAGCACTTGTATCGTCAATCCATTGTTTTTACCAACGACTTTGAAATAAATATCTTCCAAGCTTATTAGAGTGATACGAGCTGTAAACAGCACGAGACATGTTTTGTTAAATTTAATGCTAGAACAATTTAAAAGTTTATTTTGTTAACTCGAGGCATGCTTTTGACAAGTTTTGAGCAAAACTATGTTTTCGATTGACACAGTGCTCCTTACACGAGAATGGAGAATTTTATTGACGAATAACAGCTATAAATAATGGATAAAGAGAAAATTTCCTGGTGTTTTTCCTATTGCAGTTCTCTCTTGTATCTCTGATCCTAAATTGTTTGCATCGACTGCCTAATTATTGCTCTATATGTGCAGCATCTTTCATCATGTACAAAATTTCCTGAGTCGAAGATTGCTTTCAAAATTGTCGTGATACAACACACGCGTTTTATTTTTTGGCTTACAAGAATAACGCCGTACATAAAATTTTAAAGATGATTAGTCTCTATTTTTGCTTCTGGTTAGTAATGGTGTGCGACGTCTGTTTCCGGTTGTCAGAAGATTTCGACTGTTTTTTTTTTTTTTTCTTTATCATTTTTCGTAATTTGTCGTCCCACTTGGGCTCTAGTGATCCATGTAGTTATTTGAACTTATCGTGACACGCTTTTCTAGATGATTAGAATAAAAATTCATACAGTTTTGTTCCGGTTACGAGGTAGCGATACGCGCACTTTATTTTAATTATATTTTGTCGAAAATTAACTTTCTTAAAAAAGTGTCTTTTTTTGAGAATATTTTGAAGCTGAACTTTAATTATTTGAAGATTAAAGTTCATTATTTAAAGAATAATTCAAGATTATCATTTATTTATTTATTTTAATTTTTTTTTTTTTTATGAGATACTATCTTTCGTTATATTGGTCGCAGACTAACGACTGTTTGGCAAGAGAAATTAGTCCAATGAATCGTCTGAGCCGCACTGCTTTCTCGCAAGTTATGATGGTTAACAGCATAGTTTTATCCAACCCATCAGGCACCGATAAGCAAAACACCAAAGTAGCGCGTTGTTTTACCTTGCCCAACATTCAAAAATACCACCACGCATTGTTGAAGTAAAAGCAGTCACCCCCAGATAGCCGGCTGCAATTGCATTTCCTCGAGGTAAAAGGCACTCCCAAACGATAACCCCGATGGAAAAAAAAAGACACCCTTACACCCAACAAAAGTTCGGTAGGCATGACACTGTGGAGCCTTGGCCCCGGTCCAACTCATGCGCTCCCTGCACCGCACAACTCCCGCGTTCTGGTCCTATTTTTCTCTCCTCCACCTTCCCTCCCCAACACACACACACACTCGCACCGGCTCTGGATTCGGAGCTTTCGAGCTCACCTCCTTCTATTCCTAGCTCCGAGCGCCTCCTGCGTTCCGCGTAACTTACGCTTCGAAATAACCCATTGACGGAGCTGACGTTCTTCCCTCCCCTACTCATTTTCTTCCCCTTTTTTTGTTGTTGTCCGTCCTTCAAACTTGATACCGTATAATATTTCCTAATGGATGAAGAGAAGAGAGAAAAAAAAAAAAAAAAACGTTTTTTCTCCTCATTCAGCCGCGAATTTTGATTCACAGACGGGGGGTGGCTGCGTTTGATCAAACAGTCAGCAGGATCACACGTACGGGGAGAGCGAGGCCAAGAACCGTACGACGCGAACGAGAGAGAAAGAGGCACCTTTACCGCGGGGTGTTCTGGTGGGGGTCTGGATTATACACCCAGAGAGTCGCGCTCTTTCTTTCTCGGCATCGGCACATCATGTGTAGTCGAATGTAACATGTAAGTGTAGGTGCACGTATAGGCGCGCACACAGGAGGAGGCTGCATCAGCGCGGAGAGCAACGATGAGCCCGCAAAAGAGAGAGAGAGAAAGAGCCATCGGGAGAACGTAAGAGTTCCCCTTTGGCGATGATGGGGAGGTCGAAAGGTAGGAGAGCGCTTACCATCACTCCCGTATACATGTATATGTGTGTGTGCGAGAGAGCGAGCGAACGGGAGGAGAGAAAGAAGGAAAGCGAGAAAGAGAAGAAGAGCGGGGGGAGGCCCGCAGGCCGGCCCGCGGCCCCGCGGCTCTCGACTCAGTATCCCTCGAGCAAGCGCCTCGTCTGTACCCCGCGGACGTGCCGCTCCGACCAACTAGGTACACACACACACACACACACACACATCATACAGTGCTTGAGCGCGTCTCGTCTCTGCGTGTGACTACCCCTAAATTGGGTGCATAAAGTGTTGTTGTTTTTTCATCCCTTTGGGAGCAGCAGTGCCAACAATTAAAGAGAAAAAGAAACAACATCGGTGTACAGTGTCGTTTTGCATTTGCCGCTCCGTCCGTCGCAAGCGCACGCGGCGCGGAACAGGGGCGCGCTTTTCCAAAGCTCCGGGCGACTCGAGACAGAGTGGGCGCTGAGTGCCGGCAACACGTAATCATCATCACCATCCCCCTGGAGTGCCGATTTGCATAAACGCGCTTAATGAGCCGCCGAGGCGCGTAACGCGGTGGTCAAGTTTTTTTTTTTTTTTTTTTTTTTTACCTGCGGGGTTGCATCGCCGCTCCCGTATATTATCGTTCATTATATCACATCAGCGGCGCGAGTGAGTTTTCAAGTGGTTGTCGCCGCGGGACGCGTAAGTGCACCCGTTTCTCGGGCTCTTGCCGAGCTATAACGTTGGTGGATGTTGTGCCGCGACTTTGACTGTGACTAGAAGAAAAAGAAAATAAAGTAAACAAAGAAGGGGGGAAAAGTAAAAAAAAAATTAATTCAAGTGCCTGTAGGATTGATGTTCTCTTTGATCGATTAGCGAAGAAATCGAGAATAAAACCAACGAGCGAGCGAGTACCGATCGGCGGAGAGTTGGACCGAAGCGCGCTCGATTGAGCGCCGACGACGAGTGAAAGAGGATAGTTGGAGGAGGAAAGCAAGAAGGGGTCACGAGTTCTCCAGGTCAGGTCGCGGGCCATCGGCAGCGAGGCGCTCGGTACGGAGTTTCGTCGAGCGCAGTGAAGGTGGCCTGGTACATCAAGCTTGGGGGGGTGTGATGGTGGGAGGTAAAGGGGGCGAAATATCACCTTCGCCTGCAGCTCGGCTTGGGCTCCGCATAGCTCGCGGGAGAGTGAACGACGTCGTCGCCATCTTCGATGTATAATCGAAGCCGCGGGCCGCTGCCGACGCTCGGTGAACGGCTGCACGGGTGCCGCTGTACCTCTAGCTCTCGCAAAGTTACGGCAGAGCCCTCCTCCGTATCGCAACTGCACGGATGAAGCTTGCCTTCGGGCCCTAAGTGGAGCGCACGGGTCGTGGGAGCAATACCGATTTTCCATACGTGTGCCTACCCCAGTGTACACTCTCACACGTGTGTCGCCGCCGTCCCCCTCACTTGCAACAGCCAGCATCCTCCTCCTCCTCCTCCTCCTCTTCTGCATTCAACTGTCTCTTCTCTCGTTAGAGCTATCAAAGGAGAAAGGGGGAAAAGGCGCTGCTGCTGCTGGTAGTGGAGCAGAGAGAGAGATCGGCAAAGAAATCGATCGCGATCGAGAGAGCGCGTAAGCAGCCAAGGAACAAAGAGAGGGACAGCGCACAGGTGCTCACGCGCCGCGCGATTACAGCCGGCGCTCTGGGCGCGCGCGTGCACCTACTGCCCGCGTAAACACACAGAAACGGGGAGACCGGTATATACTGCAAGTGCCAGTCCTCCTATTGTTGCTTCTGTCTTGTGTCTCTTTTTTTTCTTTTTTTTTTCTTTTTTTTTTCTTTTTTTGTTCTCACCGTATAACAAGTCGTCCCACGTGTGTTTCACGTGTCGCTGTACAGTTGGACTCTGTCAGTTATTGGATCAATATCGAAGCTAGCAATTACGCCGGCGCGAGCTTCACCTGTTGCTCTCTGCGCCACTATATACCACCGACGAGTCGAGCGTGTGTGCTTGTGCGTGTTTTTTTTCGTACAGACGCGGGGAACGAGCTTGCGAGCTGCGGAACCGTTTATATCGTGTGCCAGTGCGCCGAATGATTACGATCGCCTTTTGGCAGTGCAAATATTATTTGTAATATTTCAGTGATCAAGTTGTTGTTCCTGTTGTTTTGTTGTTGGTTGGTTGGTTGAAAAAAAAAAGAAATCGGTAACTCGAGTGAACAGCCCAAGGGGGAGAACCAACGGCAACTACGTATACGTTGGATGAGTTTTGTGCTGCTTGATGCATGGTTCGGTTCATCGATTGTGTTTTCATTGCATAAATAAATATTCGATTCGAAGTCAGTGACCCAAGTTGCGAGTGGTGTTTGAAGGAAGGAAAATCGGCAGGCGTGGGAGAGCAAGGAAAGCAAGAGACACCAGCGTCTGTGGAGGATATAGGGATAAGAAATTGCAAGAGCAGCCGAGAAGGTGGGCGCGCTGGCCAGTGTCGTAACGCACGGGCCGCGAGTTGTTCACAGTGACGTGTGGTGATGCGGTAGTCGCGGGATAAACAAGGGGAAGCCATGAGGGCGGCCGCCGCCTACGTCCTGCTTCTTGCCCACCTCATACAGGTACGTCAACGCGATCGTGGGAACGCGTACATCTCTCCTCCCATTATTCCTCGCATCTTCCCTATATATACATTATACCTTACGTAATATTATAACCATACAATTTATCTATACTTACCTAATATGTAGGCCTCCTATTTTTTTATTCATGCGTACCGATCTTTTCGATTTATTCGCGATGATGACTCGGTGGAAGAAAGTGCCATCTCAGAGAATTTTTCCAAGGGTACCATTTTTTCAAAAAGGAAAAAAAAAGGTTTTCATTCGCTCTTTCTTTCTCCGTGCCGATTGAACCATCAATCGTTGAAAAACAAAAATAACAACGATTATCACAATATGCTGTAATGACACCCCAATGATGAAAAAAAAAAAAAAAAAAGGAAAAAAGTAACGGTACCCCATTGATAATAAACGATGCTCGTTGGCGAAAGTCGTGCAATTTAATTGCAAAGCGAATGAAAATAACCGATCATTAAAACCCGAGCATAACGTACATACATATGTGTAGTATAGGAGGAGGGCCTGAATTAACGCCAGATGACATTCGTATCACGAAATACCGGGTATTTGGAGCCCGGGATGCAATTTTAAACCCAAGATGCCCCGCTTCGAACATATGGCCCATTGCGGTGAGTGAAAAGCGCTGACTGAAATAAAAAAAAGGGAAAAAGATGATAAGGATGCGCCGCACAGTCGGACCGCAGCAGAGTCCGGTATGTTGTTTAGCTTTCGTTTTCTCCAAACTCCGGACCATCGGATCGCGCGCACATGTCCGAAGCAGATGTTTAATTGCAGGGATTATCCCGTCCCCTGCACCACGTCCTCGATGTCACTGCCGCCTCGTTCCCTTTTCTTTATTACTTTCGCACATTTTCCTCGGGCCCCATGCGGCTGCGGGAGACCCGAGAAATTCGTAAAAATTCCTGAATCCGGGACTCTCTCGCTCACCGTCTCTTTCTTTCCCCCCCGCGTTCGCGTCAAGTGTTGTAAATAGAAAGTGCGCGCGGGCTCTAGCACATGCATTATAATATACGAGCCGTATACCCACCGCCGCGCAGAAAGAGACGGAGCCAGATGTCATCGGGTCAGGTCTCTTCTCTCCCACATCTGGAGAAAGGGAACATAAAATATATTGCATCTCTCGGGACTATGTATATACGACCACGCTCTCGCTGCTCGCCGGAAAACGCTCGGATGCACACAAGTATATGGGAAAATTACTCGAGTACCCATTTGAGCATTAACAAATTATTGTGCTTTTAATGCCATTCGCGTATATTTATATGATTAGCCGAGAGGGGACACTCTGTTGTTTGGGTGCAGGTAACGCGTCCGAAACGACTTTCCATACGAGAAAGCGCGAGCAGGCCTCTTAGAACAAAACTAGACATAACATATAAGGTAAAATGCCCAATACTTGGACAAAACTGAAATTCAGACCGATACTTGAACAGTGAAAAATCAGTCATTGTAGCAAATAAAAAAAGAGATATTTTAAAAAACGTAATAGATTAGTATTGCTATGATTATTATTGATGATATACTTGAATTTTTAAAATAATTTCAGCAAAATTTAATACAAGCGAATGATTCTAAATTTTACCTTAGGTGCCATAAGAGTGCGATAATTTTTCTCCGTTTTCTATGATTTTGATAATAGGTAATGCTCGTTTTAAAAAACGTAATAGATTAGTATTGCTATGATTATTATTGATGATATACTTGAATTTTTAAAATAATTTCAGCAAAATTTAATACAAGCGAATGATTCTAAATTTTACCGTAGGTGCCATAAGACTGCGATAATTTTTCTCCGTTTTCTATGATTTTGATAATAGGTAATGCTCGTTAAAATTAATCCAATGCATTTGTATGCATGCTGTATGGTATTATATTACAACTTTCACATTAATTAACAATATTTCTAATGTACTCGTGGACAAAAAAAATTTTTATAATGTACAATTAGCTGTCCAAGTACACCTGACGATTTCGTAGTAGTTGGACAGACGTGGAGCTCTTGTCCAACTTAAGGTCATAGGCACAAAAACGTCGTAGCTAGTACATGGACATACAATCAAAGTTGTTTACCTTTTAACGTAGTTAATCTTTTATTTGAATTTTTTAAACAAAAGTGTATAAAAAGTGAAGTACTTTGTAGAAAAAAAACACTGTACTAATCAGTTTTGTTGTTAAGGGGTGCACCGCTTTAAGAAAATTGTTTTTTAACATTTTTAAAAGTTAACCTCCAATTCACTGTAAATACAGATGAAGTATGGGTTCTGAAAAGAGGAAAAATGTTTTTAAAAAAATATAAAAGAACGAAAAAGAATAAAAGTGGAGGTTATACAACAAAAACAAAAAAGAAAAGTAAGAAAAATTATAGTCTTATTAAAAATACATCTTAAATCACAAAACTAAAAAAAAACAGTAACATCGGTTTTACACTATCTCACTGATAGAATAATTGAAAAAACTGAGTGAGAACTGAGGTGAGAGCTTAATTGAGTTGGATAATTCGTTTGCGATTGAAGAGATGCAGTTCCTGCAAAAGAAAATTCAAATCAAGAAGGAGAAGTGCGATTCCTCACAATTGAAAATGTTGATAATCAAAATGTACCCTGAGGGATTTATCTTGCATTTAATAAATTATTTTTGGAAAAAAGATTAAAAATTTTATTTACGAATTTCACGTAATAAACTTGTTATTATTTATCCCCTTCGTTAACATTTTTTCGTTATAAGGTATTTATCTAAACACATACTTTAGTTTTAATAAGTACTTGCGCCTTATCATGATTTATACAACTGTAAAATCGTTTAAGTTAGTCCAAGTACTGCTTTCCAACTTGTCCAAGTACTGTAGCATTGTCCAACTTTTGGTTTTCAAGGTTTTCCAACTACTACGACAGTCGAGGATGATTGTCCAACTCCTACTCCAATAAGTTGACATGTTTTAAAATGTACGATAACTATTATTTAAGAGCTATTTTAAAACATTTTTTGTGTATTATATAACCCTAAGGCATCCTAATTACAAGTTAATATTTAAAAAATATGGAAGTATTGCACATTAACTTCGAAATATGAGCGTTAAAATTAGTTTCGAAAAATCTGTCCAAGTATTGGGCGTTTTACCTTACCCCACTCCACTCCACTATTTTTCTCGATGCCCATTGGCTGCGTAGTTTAATTACCTTCCAAATCATCTCGTGTTTTATATAGTAATGTCTTCGGCGGCGTTTAATCGAAGACACAAGTCTCGGCACCCTCATCTTCTTGCGTGTGTATACCCATAACATATTATGCCCAATATTGCGCACAACCGCAAAATGTACCTACTACAGTTCGCACAAACGCTCGGGGGACGTCGACGACAACCAAGACTGAATAGTTACACAGAGAGATTGAGTGAGCGAGGTCTTTTCCTTGCATGCTTATACCTACCATGTTGTACCCCATCACATAATATACGAGAGCAAACACACAGCATTACAGTACTCGGCGTACTCGTTTCCGGTTTCTCTTCTTTGCATCAGTGTAGTATATAACATATGCGGCGTCTATGCGATACTCGAAAGAGGAAAGAAGACGAGCCGCGAGGAACGCGTGTATGTATTGTGTACACAGTGCGCGCGATTACCGCGGTCCCGCGTGTATACATGTATACAGCCTCGGTTAATATGCAGCCGAGTCTTTGGAAAGGTGGAAGGGAAATTATGGCGAAATTAGAGGGAGCGCGGTTATTGTTTTGCTCGCGCCAGAGGAGCACATGTACATTGTACGCGCGTGTGTGTGCGAGGCACCGGGTGCCTATATACGCTGCCGTGGAGATAAACGCTCTCCGATAAGGGATAAAACCCCTCTTTGTTTAACTGCTGGAGGCGCTCGCGCGCCTCGGCTCCCACATACTTGTATCATATGCACCGTTTGCTCCTCCTCCTCCTCCTCCTCCTGTATCGTAGCTGGGCTGTGTGTAAACTATACCCCTACATGACAGACCGACAGAGAAAAGTGTACAAACCCCCACCCCCACCCCTCCCTGTGTGTGTGTATGTACATTGGTCGGAGAGCGTGCGTCTGGATATTACCCGCTCCTTCTCCTTTGATCGTTTGATTGCGACGATTGTTGGAGAATCCGCGGTTTGGCTCGTCGACGCGTGATCCTTTTGATCCTTGTGTGATTGATTCCTTTCCGAGTCAAAAGTAATTTCCTTCCCGGACAAATGATCTCGTCTCCGATACCATCTGACGTGCATGGGAATGTCATTCATTGCTTTGGTACACATGTGGGCGTGTCTATCTAACAGTCGCACTCAATACACACACTCACGTGACACGAGTATAATAAAACATCGCACATATATATATACACACGCGCAGCCAAAGATTCTCTCGGTTGATAATATATTAATTATGTTAAGTAAAATGATGGTTATTACGGAGATAAGTATTTAAGCGCTCGGTGTTTAACAAAACACATACCTGCCTATTCTATACGCTGCTGTTGTATATATGTAGATGAATAATGGGAATGTCTTCGTTTTATGTAGGTGTACGTGTATACGTATGACCATGTTGAAATTACAGGATTGATAATTGCTGCTGTGAGTGATTGAATTTGAATCCCGATCCGTGACCGAAGCAATCGAGCCGAGTTATTATTCTTTTTTTTTTTTTTTTAGATAAAATTATCAAATAATTGTTACGATGGCTGATAATTACGTAAAAATAGCCATTTGCGCGATGTAGGATACAATAAGTGGATATTCCAGTAAGATATTTTATGCATCATCGACGAGTGCAATCCGTAATTGGATAAAAATATACACACTCAGCGCGTCTCCCCCTCGTACGTATATGTATGCGAAATGACTATCACGAGTGTATTATAGCCGATGTATCTGATAAATGTCCCTCGATTGAATCAAACAATTATGACATCGCGCACACGGTAAAAAGTACACAGCTATGGTAGAGAGTCGAGGCAAAAAGTATGA